TAGATATAGTTGTCTAATGGCTTATTTAATGATTTGGCAAAGAAACACACAAGTTTATATATAATATAAAGAATCAGACGGTGTAAATTCTGTGCAATCGTCTCTGAGGTCCCATCCTTTCTGGGTAACCCTGTATGACATATGTATATTGTACTGTGATGACCAGAAAACTCTGGAAAAGGAAGACGACCATTAGGCTCAAATTATGACTATAAATAGTCAAATGAACATGAGACACAACAATTGTGAAGTGTAAACAGACCCATTTCACTTAATTAGTAACTAAATAAGTGTCTAGTAAAACTATTTGCTTTGTAACAACATCAAATGCACTAAAGTATTGCTATAATATTGTCTTCCTATTCCATTGTTTTCCGGTTATCACTGTATGAGGTTTCCACAAGATTACAATATATCTATACTTATAGGATTATCTAAGAAAATTTTAATTACAACTTGACAAAAATCGAGTTTCTATACAGGGTTACCCAAAAAGGGTGTGACTTCAGATACGATTGTACGGAATTTATTCTCTGGTGCCTTATATTCACGATTCCCTGCAACTAGAAACTTGTTTCTTTCTTTGTCAAATCATTAAATAAGCTATTAGATAACTATATTAAAAGCAGAATACATAATTTAACCTTATCTTCATATTTTAAGAATTTCCGGTCGTCTTTATAGTCTCCTTCTTTGTAGGTAACCCTGTATCTTTGTACATTGTATAGAAAATATATCCCCTGCACTCCACTGAATATCTATTTAATATCAGGGTTGACCTGAATCAACATCAAAGTAGTTTTTGTACTCATATCTCTACTCAGACATTTGCATGCATAGTGCTTGAATTTCAGGCAGTGAAACCTGAGAATAAAAGGTTGTATTTCAATTACTTTTTTTCGTCGGATATATTTACAGAGTGAACCAGATCACTTTAAATTTGATTGTAAATTTATATTTTTATTTCGAGCACACTTTTCAATATTTACGGATATAGAAAAAACTATTTGTGTATTTTACTATGTAACTGTTAAAATGATCACATTTCATTTAAGTATGTATGAATAGAAAATGCCTTGTTAAATATACAACCAAATAAATTTGTAAATTTAATTTGCGTGAGTAAAAAATTTAAGGCGAATGATAAGGGCGTAACACGAACCCGGAAAATCTCAATAAATTTTTTTTTTTTTTGGGGGGGGGGGGAGGGGTGAACTTTAGCTGAACTTAGTCAACCAACGCATTTAATAGATAGAATAAAGGGTTCTTTTTTATTTTCCCAGCTTCTCTATCCAATAAGAATTCTATATTATCTGTGTTGCAGTAGAGTATAAACTGTACCAGAGATAAGAGAATACAGAGATCTATTAAAGGCTGGAAAATGCGCTATTTTCTACAGCAGGTTCCATTGTGTACAACTGGAGTATATCACCAATAAACAGACTTCTGTATTCTAGGATATTTAAGGATCCTTTGGATACGAAATACAAAACCTTTAAAAATAGACTAAATTCATAAATTTTATGTTTCATGTTAAAAGTTAGAGCATTGTTGTAGAACTTGACCCCTGAAATGGTATTTTGTGCAACAATTGGCCGTTAGATGGCAGTCAAAAACCTTTAGTGGAAATGTAGCATGTCGTGCCGGACACAACTATAGGCCTGCTTAGCCTATACAGTGAGAGCTTATGAGCAGTCTGTGTACATCTAGTCTGTGCACTGTACACTGTACAGTATATAGTGTACGACATCTGAGACCTACCCTGTCTGCCTGCTTATCTGTTTGCTTGTCTATCTGCTTGTCTGCCTGAATTTCTGCCTGCGTGGATTTAGTATGCACATGCATGATTCTTGCGTTCGTGCTCTGACCTTATCTAAATACGGGCGTGGACTTAAAAGCTTCTAAATTAGTTAAAATTTATTTTATAAACTAGAATTAATTGGATTCTATATCATTATGTTGCATTTTTGGATAAAATGAATATTAGAAAAGTAAAATTAATGAAACTTATTTTGCACACTCATCCGTTAAATGCGGATAACAATTTTGTTAAATAAATATCAACCAATTTGGTTCAGCCGTTTGACCAGCTATAGTGAACATATAAATGTATATTAGCGAAAAGCTTTACTATATATATATGTAGATATGATTCTATCATGTCTAACTCGCCTAAATCCACTCTGAATTACTGCAAGAGTGTGTACACTGTACAGTGTATAGTGAGTCCAGTGCATGGTTTATTAGCTGGTTAATTACCATAATTTTACTGCCAAATTTTTAACCAATTTTCTTGTCTTGCCAATTGCCGAAGCAATATTTTCCAGAATAATCAAAATTTTAATCATCCGAAGTAATATCTTAATTTCATGTAAATCTCTGAGAACATAAAAGCTACATGAAGATATAAACGTCAAAATAAAATTTATTTTTAAGGGAATTTGTTACACTTAATTTTTCCCATTGAAGAAGGCGTGAAAAAAAAGCGACTTTAACGCCCTGCAACAGAGCGATAAATAACTTTATCGACCTGATATTGAAATTTTCACCTCTAATATTTCCCGTTAAAATAGCGCGATAAAGTAGTTTTATGAACAGTTAAGAAAAATTGAAAAAAATTTCATGTTATTGAAGTTTTTGCAGGGATAAAAACTTTTTCGCCCTTAATAATAAGTAATACGTTACTATGCAATGACATACATAGATATAATTAGATTTAAACCTACATAAATGTGTCTAGAATTCTAAACTATTTTTGTTTTTATTTCTATATTTAAAGTTTCGAATATGTATAATGTACTTCAAACATGCAACATAATGAATCAGATTTTCTTATTCTGCTTTTATTTCTGATTTTTAAGGATTAATATGAGACAATTGTTAAACTAAATGTGCCTAATTTTGGTTTAGAATTGGTTCATGGTCGAAAAAAGTCTCAAAATTAAAAGTAAGAATTTAAACAAGAAATTTTGCCGCAAACATTGGAATTCAAAACTTGGTATATATAAGTCTGCACTCTGCATCTATGCACATTGCACATATATATATAAATTTAGCTTGTCTTTCTATCTATTTGTTTGTTTTTATCCAATAAATGTAAAAACGGCTGAACCGATCAGATTCAAATTTTGTGTGGGACCTCAGGCCAATCAGACTTTAAATATGTAAGCCTAAAATACGTTTATCTAAAATTATATGATTTTGTAAAATTTTGAAAATGCGTGAAAAAATATTATGAAATCCGCAAATTTTTATACTGTTCAAAGAGAAGATGCTCACAGATAAAGCCACAATTAAAAGTTAAAAATTGTAGATGTTCATACTTAATCCTATGAAAGTACGAAATGATAATAAAAGCACTAATATGGACTCACTCTATATATATATCTTAGACCTTAATCTTCTAGTCAGGGTAAGCCAAGCCGCCAGGCTTCATGCAAGTGCATGGATAAGCTCACATTTGCAGTCGAGATAAGAAATGTTTAAAGGGACTATATGCAAGATATATCAGACATATATCTTTTGAAAATACCTAAACTTTTGTTGATAGTTTCTTATCTGCAGTACAATGTGTAAAGGCCAGTGTTTACTACACAAGAGACAGGTGTCCGAAAAAAGTAGTGGATTTTTGTGGCGTTCGTGTTTTTTGCAGGATTAATAAAAACAAAAATATCCTTCATATACTCTGGAATTTACAAAATGTGGTCTGCCTTAAAGGACAAACATAAAATGTTTCTTACGAATTGAAATAACAAATCAAATTAAATACTGTTTTCCACATCTGATATATTTTCAAGATTTAGCAAAGGGAAAAAATCTTATTTATAAAAAAATTATTTTTCAATAAAAACATGATTTAAATCACTTAAATTTTGAATGTTTATTATAAATTCTTAAAGTATACAATTTACATAGCAGGAACGATTCTAGTGCACGGTATCAAGTCTTAAATTTTCGTTGATTTTAAAATTATTGCTGCATTTCTATTTCTATAAGTTTATATAATACAAAAAATACAGGTTTTTATATTATTTTAGATACATAAAACATGTTAATACTATAAAGTTGAGTTCTAACATTAGAATACCCTTATTGTATTAAGTCCTTTGCGTGATTCTAAAATTGGTAAGACCCTCCTTTTCAATACTTAAAGTGGTATTTAGATAAATCTGGCGTTAGCGTAATTATAGTTATTAAGCTATAGCCTACTTTACCATCAGTGCATTTAAATTTACAATTTTATATAGAAATTAAAGTGCTAAAATTTAAGAAGAGGTTGGAAGGAGAGGAGATTGGGAGGGGGATTGGGGAAGGAGAAATGCTGGGAAGGGGAAAGAAGAAATGCTGGGGAGGGAGAAGGAGAAATGCTGGGAGGGGGAAAGAGAAATGCTGGAAAGGGGGAAGGAGAAATGCTGTGGAGGGGGAAAGAGAAATGCTGTGGATGGTGCTAGGTGCTAGGAGGAAGGGGGGTACTGGGAAATGCAAAGAAGAACGGAGGATTGGAATTATTTTGTGTTAATAAACATGAGAGGGTGGACAGATAGATTTACTGGTCTTAGATAAACTTTTTACTCTTCTCTATCCTACTCTTACATTCTTCCCACCCTTCAGTCGTGACATCGTATAATCTCAAGTGGAAAATTAGATAGAAGAAAAAGTGACATTTATACCCCCCACCCCATGCTAAAAAACTGGACATTTATCTACCCTTCCCTACCTCCTCCACCCTCTTCCCCACCCCTCCTTCTCCACTAACCTTCACATGAACTCGATGTATGGAAGTAATTCAAGTAATTGATTAGATTATACAGAACAGATGACAGATTTACGTTCAAACAAGAGATAGATAACCAGACAGATACAGTTTAGCAATAATTATATAAATACAAAATAACACATCGAATCCGGGGAATACAACACACATTGTACATACAGGGTACCAACAAAGGACTCTAAAGACGACCGAAAACTCTTAAAAAGGTTAAATTAAGTTTAACTAAATGAAGGGAAGTGTGGCAGTCAAGGAATATGGTTGGGAGATGAGGGGAAGTTCGGCAGTCAAGGAAGATGGTTGGGAGATGAGGGGAAGTGTGGCAGTCAAGGAATATGGTTGGGAGATGAGGGGAAGTGTGGAAGTCAAGGAATATGGTTGGGAGATGAGGGGAAGTGTGGCAGTCAAGGAATATGGTTGGGAGAGTAGGGGAAGTGCGGAAGTCAAGGAATATGGTTGGGAGATGAGGGGAAGTGTGGAAGTCAAGGAATATGGTTGGGAGATGAGGGGAAGTGTGGAAGTCAAGGAAAAAGGTCGGGAGATGAAGGGAAGTGTGGAATTCAAGGAAGATGGTTGGGAGATGAGGGGAAGTGTGGAAGACAAGGAAGATGGTTGGGAGATAAAGGGAAGTTTGGCATTCAAGGAATATGGTTGGGAGATGAGGGGAAGTGTGGAAGTGTAGGAAGATGGTTGGGAGATGAGGGGATGTGTGGAAGTCAAGGAAGATGGTTGGGAGATGAGGAGAAGTGTGGAAGTCAAGGAAGATGGTTGGGAGATGAAGGGAAGTGCGGCATTCAGGGAAGATGGTTGGGAGATGATGGGAAGTGTGGAAGTCAAGGAAGATGGTTGGGAAATGAGGGGAAGTGTGGAAGTCAAGAAAGATGGTTGGGAGATGAAGGGAAGTGTGGCAGTCAAGGAATATGGTTAGGCAGTTTGGACGTCAAGGAGGATGGTTGGCAGATTAATGGAAGTGTGGCAGTCAAGGAAGATAGTTGGGCAGTGTGGAAGTCAAGGAGAATGGTCGGGAGATGAGGGGAAGTGTGGCATTCAAGAAAGATGAAAGGGAGATAAAGGGAAGAGTGGAAGTCAAGGAAGATGGTTGGGAGATGAGGGGAAGAGTGGAAGTCAAGGAAGATGGTTGGAAGATGAGGGGAAGAGTGGAAGTCAAGGAAGATGGTAAGGAGATGAAGGGAAGATTAGATTTCCAGGGAAATCTGGGTATAAGCTATTATTGTATTTTAGAAATAATAACAAAATTTCTATATCATTAGTTCATGAACTTGTAAAGTCACTTTTCATAATAAGTGCAGAACAAGTTCTACAAGTAATTACTTAAAACTATTATACTTATATTTATTACATACATTATGTATCTCATTAGTTTAATTGATATTATGTATTATCGCCCCCCTGTATATGCTTCAAAGGGTGTGTTGCCTGCTAAAATTATGCGTATTTATAGCAGTTTAAGCACTATGAGCTCTTTAACCTATACTTGAACATGTAATTAAGCTTTTTTAATATAATTATACCAATTTACGATGTAAACTTGAATTACAGATGTAATTTAACACTTGAACCTTGTTATTGTAAACTGTCAATTACTCATGAAGAAATGCGGGAGGGATTATTTACGATAGACAGACCTAATTGAAAATATAAATAATAGCTGACCAATTAGTGATTTTATTGCTATTGGCAGCTGATTTATCTTTGCAAACAATCAAGGTTTTAAAACAATCAATTACGTTTTTTATGATTATTTTTTGATCTTTTATTTTTTTATTTTTCTTTCCCGGTTTTTCTTCGCTTTACCCTCTTCCCATCCTTGTTATTTTGTTTCCTTTTTTACCACCTTTCCTCTATATNTTCTATCTCCTTCTATCTCCTTCTATCTCCTTCTATCTCCTTCTATCTCCTTCTATCTCCTTCTATCTCCTTCTATCTCCTTCTATCTCCTTCTATCTCCTTCTATCTCCTTCTATCTCCTTCTATCTCCTTCTATCTCCTTCTATATCCTTCTATCTCCTTCTATCTCCTTCTATCTCCTTCTATCTCCTTAATTTGACTTTTGTCGTCTCATGTCTTTACTCCTCTTTCTCCCTCTCTTTCACTTCTCTTCTAAATATATTTGGATTATTTGTTTAAATCCAATAAACGGTAAAACTACTGGAACAACCTGGTCCAACTTTTTTTTAATAAATTCTATCTCGCTAGTCGCAACACTACTGTGGTCGGCAGCTCCCGGCTTATCATGGTTCACAGCAAACTCTTCAGTCAAGTTTAATTATTTTTCCCGACCCTTTTTAACTTTCCTAATCCAAAGGGAAGGGTTGTATAGAATTCAAAAGTCAAATCAATGCGATATTGATGGTGGTACTTTGTGACCTCGTAGCTCCTCAAGTTTTGATTTTATGCACCAGTATGAGAAAAGTAAATTTAACCGGTTAAATATTAGAAAAATTAGGATTTATGACTTAACACACATAAGAATCTTACGTGAAATTTACTTTTGCTTGAGGTGAAAGTCAGGGAGACATAACAGTACGTTCGACACGAAGCGCCCTGGAAACCCGGTTCTCCATAACACGGTCTCATTATTCTGTTCACCATATGTGTACCTTACCCATTACTTCCTGCATAATCTGAAGTGTATCTTTATATCTAGTATTTACAGTGCAATTATGGCTAATAATCGTAAAGCGTTCATGTATACATAATATGCATGACTATTCAGAGTACATAGGTTGTATAGGCTGTATACACCAATTACATGGTTTGAACCATTGTAACACAAACCAATTCAATATATTTAGAACTAGGTTCAGTATGAGAACTGAGCATGATCATACAAAGGGCAGATTCTGTTGGAGATAAAAAAAATGTATCTAAGTGTTTCATTTTTTGTCCTATTGTATCCTACTGTATCCTACTGTATACAACTGTATCTTACTGTATCCTACTGTATCCTACTGTATCCTACTGTATCCTACTGTATCCTACTGTATCCTACTGTATCCTACTGTATCTTACTGTATCCAACTGTATCCTACTGTATCCTACTGTATCTTACTGTATCCAATTGTATGCTACTGTATCCTACTGTATCCTACTGTATCCTACTGTATCTTACTGTATCCAACTGTATCCTATGTATCCTATTGTATCCAACTGTATCTTACTGTATCCTACTGTATCTGACTGTATCCAACTGTATCCTACTGTATTCTATTGAATCCTACTGTATCCTAATGTATCCTACTGTATCCTACTGTACCTACTGTATCCTACTGTATCCTACTGTATCCTCCTTTATCCTCCTGTATCCTACTGTATCCTACTATAGCTTCCTGTATTCTACTTTATCCTTCTGTATCCTACCTTTATCCTCCTGTATCCTACTGTATCCTACTATAGCTTCCTGTATTCTACTGTATCCTACTGTATCCTACTGTATCCTACTGTATCCTACTGTATCCTACTGTATCCTACTGTATCCTACTGTATCCTACTGTATCCTACTGTATCCTACTGTTTCCTACTGTATCCTACTGTATCCTACTGTATCCTACTGTATCCTACTGTATCCTGATAGACCCTGATCAAAGTGATTCATCAAAGGGTTTACTGCTCCAGGACTATTGAGAATAATTTAACCAATATCACACGCCCAGCACACACTACCATATACTAGATAAACCGAAGTAAGGATAGAAATTTTATTAAGAAAAACACTTGTCCAAATTGTCCTTTGGGGGCAGAATGATTGTCCAAATTGTCTCGTTCCTACCCATTAGGATCCGACATCTAAAATGTCGGCGGCAGAAAAAAACCTACCTTATTAAAGGAAGTGTTATCGTAATTTCAAGTGGTCCACCATGCAAAGATGACAATGCCAGGTACCTTTGAGACTTATTTTGATCAATAATGTGCAAGATATTGTCTTTTTCCTAGGTTTAAACTTGTTAAATACTGATTACCACTAATTGAATGTTGCCGTAGAAATGCGCAAGTCACTTTCGCAGAGAAACCACAATTGATAATGATCACTTTTCCAAATTAAAAATATTGATATTTAATTCATACTTGAGCAGACAATGCGTTTAGTGGTACCGTCGTGAATCGGGCTTTATCTTTTCATAAAGGGTCACTTAATTACGCTTACAGTCCCTTTAAACCACAGATCTGTGCAATACATTCAATTTACAGCCCGCGGAAACATACTCTTTTCGGCTGTCGACGATTTGGTGAATGATGAAAAATGAATCTATTCTCCGCCCATTTCTATTGAATACCGCTGCGCACTGGAATTGAAAACTGAAAGAATTGAACCTGAAGCTGAACCTATGAAAGGTTTTTAGTGAGAAGAGAACTCATAGATAATAATTCAATTCCATTCTTCTCAATATAGTTCCGTATTCTTCTTATTACAATATTCTCATCTATTCATCTATTCATTAATTCATGACCTATTCATCCATTCATTTATTCACCCACTCCTTATGCATTTATTTATTTATTTAGTTTTTGCTATTTAGTCATTTGCTTATCTACTCACATGTTCTTTTATTCAGCTATACAACTCTTAAATATCTTTATTTATTTTCTTATTCACTTTAACAATTATTTATTTATTCATCCATTCATCTCTTCCTCTATCATCTATTCATTTATACATCTATTCACCTATTCCAAGTATTCATGTAATCATACATTTACATACATTTTTTACGTACTCATTTTTTAACCTATTCATCTATTCATCATCATCTACAAAATTAAGATTAATTCACTGCAACAAATTTGTTGTAGACACCAATGATGGCGGTATTTATAGCGGCTAAATGCACTATTCCTTGTTGTATGATGTAAAACATGGGTAACAAATTGGCTCTAATATGATTTAATATTTTTCTTCTCTCGTTGATTAAATTGATCAAATTTCTGCACTGCAATCGTATCAGCTGTCATGATTCATTATATTCACATAAATATACAGGGTTACTTGCAAAGGATGATAAAAGTGATGTTTTTCTTCAAAATTAGTTTTTTTTAAATTCAACGGACACCGCCGGACGGAGCTAGTAATATATAATTCTACAATTCTAGAATCTATATCTTAAGATTCATACATTTTGAACATTTGCTTTTATTTTGTTGCAATTACTTAAAGATTCAGTTTAGTCGTCTCTGAAGTTCTAACCTTTGTGGGTAACTCTGCAGTATATTATACATTTAAAGATATATTCTACGTTTTTACATTCTTTTTCACCTTTTGCCATAAAAATGTTTTAAATATTTATTATACAGGTGACATTTGAATCAAAACAAACAGAATTTACTTTACTTAATACAGATTTTAATAAAAAGTATTATTATTATTATTATTATTATTATTTACTCAATACAGATTTGAATAAAAAGTATTGAAAGAATATGTGATTTCTTACAGTGTATTTAATGGTCAAATGGAATTGAGTCTTTCCCACAAAATCAAATTATCTAATCCCCATATATGTGCAACGTGATGGTGCAAAACCTTTAATATTTCAAACTTAGATTATTTAATCTAATTGATAGTTGAAAGAACTAAGGTCTATTACATTAGGTCGTTAAGATAAAGGGATTAGAAAATCATAGTTTGTGGCAAAAACTTAATTCCTCCATTTAAAATGATTTTTA